AGCTATTTCTGGACTACTTGGAATAGTCTGCCCTTTGAATCTGGCCAGCCAGAAACTCAGTGGCACATGAAAGACTTAGGATATTGCACTACAAGCTCACTGCATTGCAGTCCTCACTTCTGCATCTTTTACAGTCAAAATTTAAAGGTCTCCAGGGATCAGAGTTTTCACTGTTTCCCTTAGGAGATTATTACAAAATCTAATAGATCTGGCTTTCAAGGGAAATTTCCTTTGTATTTATCTTAAATTTTCTCTCTCTTAATTTAATTCCATTAGTCCCATCTCTTGTAATGTACTGTGCTAACAAGTCTTTCTGCTTGGCGTTCAGATTAGAATCATAGATTCACTGAATATCACTGATAGTTAGAAGGAAACCATGAGGATCATTGAGTCCAGCTCCTGGCTCCACACAAGTTATGTTTGTATAGAAAAGATAGTAGTGATATCCCTTTCTCTTAATTGTCATTTAGTCAGTCTTCTTTGTTTCTCATAGTCTTCTGCCATTTATACCTTTTAACATATTTTACTTGATCTTCACTAAACTTCCACCAGTTTCTCTGTTTATAAATGTGCTGGGACAAAAAGTAAAGTCAGGACAAGTGAAAGTTGGAGAATATGCATCACTGATTGAAAGCTAAAATCACTAGAGAAGTTTCTATAATTACCCGATACCATCACCTATATTATATATATAATTATCCTATATCTATCACCATTTTGACATGCTAGTAGAAAAATATTTTTTCTTTGTATTTATGTAGCTTCAAACTGATTATGTATTGGATAGAGCACAGGTTACTTACCAGCTCACAGCACAAATGTTGTCAGAAGTTTGGTAGTACTAATGAAGTATCTTAACTGTCTGTAGAACAAAATGTGCCAGAACTGCTTTTTTCGATAGACAGTGACAGGTATCTGCAAAAATGTTACAGAGATGATATATGTGAGTACAGTAGTTCTCCAAAATTAGTCAACTTGTTGTTTCATGTTGGTTCATGACTGTTGCCACAATGTCTAACTCTTATAATTAAAATTGCTAGATTCTCAACCAAAATATTACTTAAATATACAAATCCTTGTTTTAGTACTGTTGTTGTTTTCTCAAAAAATGTAAATAATTTCTTGGAAAATTTAAATTACAGACAATAAGATGTGAGGAGAGATTAGGATATGCTGGGAGTACATTGGGTTTTTTTTTTCAGAACAGTTAAATTTCATTTTTTAAAAAAAGAAAAACAAAAACAAAAGGAAGTCTGAGGGTGTTCAGAAACTAGTGTAGATCAGGGGATGCTGCTTTTTTCCCATTATGGTTCTGGAGCATTCATAGAATCACCAAGTTTGGAAAAGACCTCTGAATCATCTAGTCCAACTGTCTAACTACCACCGATGTTTTCTCATTAAACCATGTTCCTTAGTACCACATCTAAACATTTCTTGAACACCTCCAGGGACAGTGACTTCACCACCGCCTGGGCCGCCCATTCCAGTGCCTGACCACTCTTCGGGAGAAGAATTTTTTCCTAACATCCAACCTGAATATTCCCTGGTGCAACTTGAAGTCCTCTAATGCTATTGCTAGTTATATGGGAGAAGAGGCCAACCTCCACCTTGCCACAACCTCCTTCTCAGTAAAGAGCTATAAGATCTCCCTTTTTCCTCCTCTTCTCCAGACTAAATAATCCCAGCTCGCCCAGCTGCTCCTCATATGACTAGTTCTCCAGACACCTCACCAGCTTCATTGCCCTTCTCTGGACACTGCAGGGCCTCAATGTGTCTTTCTTGTAGTGAGGGGCCCAAAAGTGAACACAGTATTTGAGGTGCAGCCTCACCAGAGTTAAATACAGGGAGACAATCACCTTCTTTGCCTTTGCTGACAACACTGTTTCTAATAAAAGCCAGGATGCCATTTGCCTTCTTGGCTGCCTGGTACTGTTATCCAATGAATCAATAGGTTTCCTAAAACTCAATGCCGAGCTTCATTCTGTGAAGGGTGAGGTCCTTTGCCTCCATGTAGTCACTACAAGACAACACTCCTGGAACTTAATAGTTGTCACTTCTGAAGTCTTTATTTACAGTTTATAGCTTTAATAAAAAGATGTGATTCTTGTCTGTCTTTTGTGCTGAATAAGAATAGTTGATATTTGTATGTATGTGCATGGTGACTGTAGGAAATAAATGCAGAGAACTTCATAAGGTAATTTTGTTTGTTGCAGCTTGTAAACTGCATTATATATCCTTACTGCTACGGATGACACTAATGTGTTGTTTTAAAAGCAGCTGCGAGGCCATTGCCCATGCATTTTCCATAATGTATATGTGCTCATGTATGATATTTAGACTACTCCATAGCTTCAAATGTGTCTGGAAAAATGGCTTTGATTAATTGACTTCCCTTTCCTTCTCCTTCCCCCTTCTCAGATGCAAGAGCTCAGTTCATTATCAGGGAAGATCAGAGGAGAGGAACAGAGTACCTAGGTCACACGTTGTTAGAGTTACAATTTTCCAAATACCCTAAGTAAAAAGTAGGGTATTTGGAAAATTGTAACTCTAACAGCGTGTATGTAAAAAGTAGGCAATGGGAAATATCTGGGATGGGAGAGGTCCTCTGTTTGAAGATCCTTCTACATTACAATTTTTTGCTTTTGCTTTTAGCTGTGCAGATTTGTATATAGATAGATAGATAGATTTACATATATATAATCTTATTTCATTGTCAAATCTATTTGCCTTTCTTATGTGTCACATTTTCAGTTAGGTGAGCATGAGAAACTATGAGCACCGATGCACTCACTGAGGACTGTTCTTTTCAGTGTTCTTTGTTCACTTCTTCCTTTTGTTAGGAAATTTCCACTCATGAGAACTTATATATATATATGCATGTAATTTGAAAGCTAAAACTCACACTTCAGTACATGAGCTGACAACGTCCTTTGCTTCTGTTGGTATTTATACCTAAATAAATAGTTCACTCCTTTTGATGTGTACATACTAAGAGTTTATTTCTAAATTTTATGTATGTTCACAGTATTTGTGGCATGCATAATCTATCCATAAAATCAGAATTTTGTACAAGTAGAATATTGTTAGTCAGAACCTAAAGTTTGGCTCTTTATTCATCATATTTTACTTCTTCAGTTAACATTATTACTGGTTAATAGGTGCACCTGAAAATCAAGCTGTATTGTAGTATCTGGTGCGTTATGTTAAATGAATCTTTTATAGGACAGCAAGTCTCTTTTTTTTTCCTCATGAAAAAGAATACCTCATCTTTTCCAATTTTCCTATCAAACCCATCCACATCATCTTGAGACACTACCACATCCAGCTGCATCAGTACTCAGCTTCAATTATATGAAATTAGACAACCTACTCTCAGGTCCTTTAAGTTCCCTTTTGCTGTTTGAGACACACACACAGTGCATTTCCTGTGAAGTGCATGATTACAAACTATTCAGTACAAGCCTGTTTTAAGTAAACAGTAAATTAAATATTGTCAGTGCTTGTTCAGACAGGCTCTCATGAAGAAAAAAGAACTTCTAGGTTCAGGTTCATAAAACTCCCTAGATTTAAGAACAGGCCAGTCTGATTTCAGACATAATTTTTCCTTCTTAACTTCTTGACTCACCAGTTGTTCAACAGCTGGTTCAAAACATTATTTTCAGATGCTTATACGTGAAAACTGGAATAGACAAAATGCTGAAGGTAGCAAAATTCTTGTTTATTACTCAATTTGAGTGGAAAATTCTCAAAAATATTCTGTCACTAACTGTCAGGTAGATTGCTGCTTGAAAGACTGCTAAGGGTTTACTTGAGCAATGTTCCTCTTTCAACCATGACAAATACAGTGAAAAAACATCATTTTGTTGTAGTTCTGGGTAAATTATTTTCTGTTATGCCAATCAAACTGACTACAGGAGTTAAGAAAGAAAAAATATGGTCACTTTCCTAAGAAATGAGGACTTTTGAGTATTTTGTAATATCTTCAGTACTAGAATACTTGGTAATATTTGGAGAAATATAAATAAGCGTTATGAAATCCAGAAGCTACAAATCTGCACTCGCAAAGTCTACTGTAATCACTGCCAGTTAATTCATTCCCAAAAGAAAGCAAAAGTCTTTTCTTCCGAGGAGTCAAATATTGTTTTCATTCGTTCTGTAGGCATTTCAAAGAGAACAAGGGTTGCATGTGTGTGTTCAGGGCTGTGTGATTGATGATTAAATAAAGCAAGAGCTCCTTTCTTTATTGTATTTTATTTCTCTTTCTTTCATGCAAGTATGAGTGAGAAACTCTGCCAACTAATTCACAAATAATTCCAACTAAATTATCAGTGGTGTACAAAATGTCATAACACGGAGTAGATCGTGTTTCCAGTTCATCTCTCTATTAACAGCTTTCAATACAATAAAAAGACACAAAACTGAACAACTAATAAAAATATTAGAGCAAAAAGGATGAAAAATAGTTGCTTTACAAATTAAGAATGTAGAGATCTAAAGCAATCTGATTTGTTCTTTGAAAATGGATTTGAGAGTAATGCTGAAACAATAGATTTGTATGAGTGCACATAAGGCCAATATGTTCAATGTTGTAATTTTTTTAATAGTTTCATAAATAGTTCTATCACCAACATTTCAAAGAAATCTGAAAAAAACAGAGCTCATATGTGATGGCATAAATTTAGTGTATTTTATAGAATGCTGTTACTGCAGATATAGCCTACAGGTTGTGACTTTTCATAAAAGCTAATGAATTTCTAGATTTGTCAACTGTTTCAGCACAGATGCACTTTGCTGATCAAATGGAAACATTTTGAGCCCAGATCCAAAATATCAACAGCTTTTAGTATTGAAGATTAGTTGGCTACTGGGGAAATGGGGATGTGGTTTTTGATAAAAAAACAGAAGTAGTTTTGTATATGTGTTTTATGAGAACTGCCTCTTCAGTGTTTGATGCTGAGATTTTTCCCTTTTTTTTCTTTTTTTTTTTTTTTTTCTCCCAGAGTTTTAAGTTGAATGTTGATAGCCACTGTGCTTTAAAAGAAGCAGTGGTAGAGGAAGGACGTCAACTTCTTGAGCTTATTGTATCTCACAAATCAGGTAAATCCTTCTGAAATATTGCAAGTCTTTATATCTCCAGACTATTAAAGAATGAAGAAGCATTGCTGTAAATTACTGCATATATTCACTTCCTTATGTATTATTAATATTTGCATTATCAGATTGACCTTCAAGATTTATAAATGTTTCATATACTGCATACAATGCAGTGATACTTATAAAATGAAATACTGCCTGCAAATAGTCTGTTCATTTTATTTTGGTCTTGCTGCTCAGTTGAGTTTCAATTGAAATCACATCAGTGAGAACTTTACACTGACACTTTCTTTGATGAAGAAGCAGTGGCAGTAACATTAAGATAATGAATTAAGATTTCAAATATATGCATATATATTTTTACGTACCCTGCATGGGTAATTGCATTGGTAAATCTTTATTTTGTCTCTTAAACTAATTCTTACATGATTTCAATATATTTATGAGGAATGGACTGAAATTAAAAATTCCTTCTTCCTTTAGTTAGGCTTGTCTTTTTCTGCAGAGGCCCTAAATTGAAGGGAGGGAGAGAGAGATGCTGATACCCCTTTCTCTTTCCCCACCAACCCCTATATTTTTAGATGTTTGCATGACTTGTATGATAATAGGGTTTTAATCAGTATATATTGCTATGTAATGCCTGCTTTTCACCCAGGCAGAGGTTATCCTCTTGTTTGCATTATACATTGTGCCTCTATTGTTTCAGAGTTTCAGGCAGATCTCACTAATGTGAAAGCTGTAGGAAATCACTGACTTAAATGCATAGGCCAAAAAGCTATAGAAGCTATAGCAGAGAAGGGTATTGCATGTCATGCTATACTTAGAAAGTGGTAATATGTAAACTACTGAAAATATGAACAGATGAAGGTAGGAAGAAATGTATTTGGTAGATTATGATATGTTTAAAGATTGGATATTGGGGGGTGGGATTACTGTAGCTTTTCCTATTGCAGTCACATTCTATGTGGGATTTTCCTTTTCTTGAAAACTTTGGCATAAACATGATAAAAATTTAAAATGATGGCTAAAATAACTTTTTGACCCTATAGCATTGTTTGCAGTGTGAACAATAGTAATGGTTGTACTCATTTCTGAGAAAATATGCTAAATATCCTGTTCTGTTTATTTAAGTATCCTGCTACTTCTTTGATTAAGGAATAATATTTAAAGATGCAGTTAAGCTTACAACTTACTTTATTTTCCCCTTCATTTTGGAGAAGGACTGAAGGACATGCTGCAGATGATTGCAAGTCAATGGAAAGAGCTACAGAGGCAAATCAAACGGCAACACAGCTGGATTCTTAGGGCTCTGGATATCATCAAAGCAGAGATACTGGCTACTGATGTGTCTGCAGAGAATGAGGAGGGGACTGGGAGCCCTAAGGTAAGTGGCTTGAAGTTTGCCTTATTTCCTCTTATTTCCGTCTTCTTTTGAACTAGGCACCACTGAAGTTTTCTTTCCACCCTAAGGCTTTTCATTTCTACTGGGTAAACTTTTTTTTTCTATAAACAAAATGAAATGCCTTACTCTGAAACAATAAAAAATCTTCGAACTTTCAAGTTTTCCTGGAAGACCTTTCTCATTGTGTGCAAAGGGGCACGAGGGGGGAACATAAAACATTTAGTAAACAAAACATAAAGCATCTTTAACATGAATAATCAGAATGGTTTTAAATTGTTTTGTTGCAACTATAAATCACTATAATCAGTGCAATCACTCAGCTCTGACATCCATTAGCCGCTTGGTTACAGCAAATTAACAAAGAAGAGAGAAAGTGATTCATTATCTCATTCCTGTTAATGACTATCAGATGCATTGCTTAATTAGGGGATGGCCATTGTAGTGGGAAGAAGGTCATATGCCTTTTCACAAATCTTTTTCCTCTAAGTCTTCCATAATAGTGCAGGTGCTGAATACAACAAGTACTTTAAGAATAAAGTATTGACACCTATAACCATTTTGTGGATATTAATTATCAAAGAGAGCTATAGTACTTACCAGCTGCTGAACTTGAAACTTCTAAGAGCACTTTGAATACAAAGCATACTAATTCAAATTAGCACAAGCAGTGTAAGGACACTGCACAAAACACAAACTTATGGCGTAGGGTCCCTGCCCTTGCATTAATATCAGTAGAAAAAATGGTTGAGAGGTTGCAATGGAAGGTGTTGTTTTTTCCATTGCATCCCAAGCAATGAATAATACAGCGGGGAGCCTAGTAACTCTAACGTTTTGGCACGCTGCAGGCAGAAATCAAGATTCTTGTTTCTAGAAATAAAAAGTGCTTGTGCTGAGTAGATTTGATTCTGATACTAGACAATTCTTTGTATTGGTATTCACAGCTTTCTAGAGATCAGTTTGTGTAATAGTTTTTGGCTAGAATGTCATTGAATGTTATGATATTTTCTTATCATAATACAGGAAAAAACTATAGGCAGGAAATTCTGTTTGAACTAATATGCCTAGTCACTTACGTGGTTCAAAATTATCCAGTATCTCATAGGTTTTTAGTTTAGGAATTAGGAGGAGGTGGAACAATTCTTGGTTTTCACAGTTAGGTAAACAACCTAGCCCAAAGCTGTCTTTACCCCACAGAAATATATCCCTGTTCCTCAGAACAGCTTCACTTTTCCATGGCCAAACACCTAACTGCTCAATCAAAATCATTACATAAAAATTGTCCTATAATCCAGCTTGATTTTGCGGTGAAAATTATGGAAATCTGAACATAGAATGATTACATTCAAATACTTGATTAAAGAGGGAAAAATGTATAGTTTTTGTTTCAGCATTTTCTTATGTGGGTAGGTAGCAACTCCTTGCCTAACTCTTTTTATCATATAGATAGGAACCTGAAGCAATACTTTTGTGAATACAGCTGTATAAATAAAACTGCAAGTGACAGAAATGATCAACTGAAAAGAATTTTTAGGTTATTTCATTAATTAAATCATATTGTATGCATCTTGTAGGTATGGGTAGCAGTGCTGTCAAATACCATCCACTTATTCATGCTGAAAGATTAACTAAAATTAAAATACAGTTGATATTAGAACTGTAGATTTTGGTTTGCATTTATTTCAAAAGCCAAAAGCAGTCTGAGAAGTATAATAGAAAATCTAAAGATTATATCTAGAGGGTATTTTTCTTTTCTGACTTGTTTGAGAAACTACAGAAACAGTGTTGGCGTTAGAAATCTGTGAAGAAATAGGAAAAGGAGGAATTTCAAAGACCCTAGGAAGCCTTCCCTTAGGAGTTTTTAAATGTGTTTTTATAGCTCTATGGCATCTTTTCTGCAAGGAATAGAGTTGAAAGGAGAGAGAGAGATTCTGCACACTAGAAATACATCACCAACATTTGTATTGAAGAATTCAGATTTTGCTTATGAGATTATTTATTTTATTGTATGTATTTTTCCTACCAGCTTGTACTTTCAAATTCAGTGTAGTGATTGCTGTAGAAGACTTGCAGGTTTTTAAATATTTCTGATAACTAAACTCTTCTAATATACTGCATTCTTTGTATTAGTTCTTAGAAATGCAGTAAGATCTCCTCTTACATATTTACCAAAGCTACTACTTTGTTGTGTTTATAAATAGAAAAAATTACTGCTGTATTCATCTCAAATTGGATTATGTAAATTTTGAGTTTTCTACTCCATTGAGAAATACCTTTAAAAATAAATCTCAGAATTGCCACTATGCATTTCAACAAAATGCTTGATCTAACGTTACTAGCAACATGTCATATGATATATATGTCATCCTTTTAGAAGGACACTTATTCAGCAATAAGGGATTTTTTCTGATAGTAATATTCCAAAATACCTGGAAATGAGGTATTGTATACATTTGTATATTGTAAATTTAAATTGTATACATGTGCATATCTGCTTTTTTCCATCTTCTCATGGGGTCTCAGACTTCTTGTTTTATAACTGACATTTTAATAATGTGGCCAGTACCTCTCCATCAAGAAAGGCCTATGGGAACAGTATTGCTCTCAATAAACAGTGGTATTGAAAAATAACTCAGTGTACTTTATTACCTTGAACCAGTGAGTGTTACTGCCCTAATATGATGCTGGCCTATTTAACTCCTGGTTTAGTGGAAAAGTTCATTGCCTACTAAAGAGCTTGTAAATTGCAATTAATGTACATGAAAAGTATAGACATCTCAACAGCATTTGTCCATAATGAACATTTAACTTCGTTCAAGATTGTATGAAATAGTACTCTTAGTGCCCATTATAAGTTCTATTTTCAGAATGTTTTTGGACAGTTAGCTCATGTCTGTAATTTTTGGGCTGTACAATTTTATTCTGCAATAAAACATTTCAGGGCATAACATTAGAACTTAACAGCTAGTAGGTTGAAAGAAAATAATCTACACTAGAAGTATGAATGTAGTCTATACTTCTGGACATATTGCTTTCTAGAATAATTACTGTATTATTGAAAAAAAAAATTGTACTTCTCTTTTCTAGCTTCAGAGGAATAACTATGAAACTGCCTAGTGCTTAGAATATTGAAATTTGACTTGTCACGAGTAAAAAACACTCCTGGGAAGATTCTTATCTCTATAATGACTATGACCGTCAGTAGGTTAATGATAGAAGCAGTGAGCATTCAAGGAACATTAGAAGAGGTAAAAACTTTATAGGAGGTAAACCTAAAATCGTAGAATTAGTAGATAGATCTTCTGCTCAAGTGTTTGAAATGGTTAAACAAACCTCTGTCTAAATGGAAAAAGAAAACCAGCGTAATTTCCCCTTCATATGTAATTAAATATCCCATGTTTCCAGCATCATCTCCCACTCAGTTATACGTAATCTTGAAGTTTCCAGCCATTCTGAACAAAGTCTTCCATATAAAGAAAAGTGATTTGCATAAAAAGAAATGAAAACTCGTTGAAGCTATTTAATATCTAACCACAGTTTATGATTCTGGGAACTGTCCTTGACAGTTTTATAGTGACACTGGTCTCAGACCTAGTGGGTGGAATAAACACTGTAGTGAGGAACAATTACATCTTGCTCGGTATTACAATATGAGACTAAATTGCAAAATGGAGAACAGAGGAAATGCTCAATCTTTCTTCAAAAGGAAAGGTGCTGTAGCCCTCTGATCATCTTTGTGACCCTCCTCTGAACTATTACCAACAGTTCTGCATTCTTCTTATGCTGGGGGCTTCAGGCCTGGACACAGTACTGCAGATGATGCCTCACAAAGGTGGAGTAGATGAATGAGGACAATCACCTTTCTGTCTCTGCTGGCCACCCCTCTTTTGATGCAGCCCAGGATACAGTTGGATTTCTGGGCTGCAGGCACACACTGCTAGCTCTTATCCAACTTTTTGTCCACCAGGACTCCCAAGCCTTTTTTGACAGGGCTGCTCTCAGTAAGTTCTTCATTCAGTTAGTCTATATGCATATTTGGGATTTGCCTGACCCAAGTGCAGCAATTTGCATGTGGCCTTGTTGAACTTCATTAGGTTAATCCCTCTGCATAGCATCCCTTCCTTCTATTGTGTAAATTGCACCACTCAGCTTGGTGTCATCAGCAAACTTGCTGACGGTACGCTTGATCCCACTGTCTGTATCATATATAATAAAAATTTTGAAGTGTAGCAATCCCAAGATGGACCCCTGGGGGACACCACCTCAGAGAAGTTGTGGATGCTCTATCCATGAGGGAATTTAATTCCAGGTTGGATGGGGCCCTGGATAGCCTGATCTAGTAATTGGCAACACTACCCAGAGCAGAAGGATTGGAATTAGATGACCTTTAATTCTGTTCCAATCTAAGGCATTCTAAGATGGTAATAGTCCTTTCTTTATTACTAGAGAATTGTAACTTGTTCTTTGTTATAAAAAGAATATACAAGTGAAGTGTTTCGGAATCTCTGTGATTACTGCAGAGAAATACTGTATTTGTCATTACATTTTTTTCTTTTTCTCAGTGTCTTTAATCAGTTCTAAATTTCTAAATCAGCAGACTTCAGCATGTTGTGGTAGGTTCCTCTGAAAGTAATGCCTACTATTATTTCCATGGAAATACATACCACAACAAAGAGAAAAATAACACTGTTTGATAGAGCAAATACTCAGCTACAAAACATTGTTTTTCAACATAGCCATTGTTTTTCAACATTAGCTGTTCATTTTAACCAGAAGTGAACAAGAGCCCACATGCCACTCATAAAAATTTCCATCAACTGAGGTGACCTACTGTTTCACAGCTAATATGATGGTGTAGTTAGGAAAATACCTCCTCAGTCCATCCTTCGTTGGTCTGGACAGATGGAATTTAGAAGATCCCAAATCCAATGGGTATGGTAGGACAGTCCAGCCATACTTGACAATGTCCACCACAGTCTTCAAAC